TGGACACCATGAGCTAGAAAGAAAGAGAAAGGGTGCCCTATCGAATGCCCTCGCCGCAGTCTTGAGCGTGAGGTGTCCTTGAAGTCAGACGAGCGAGCGCGGCCGCGGCGCCCGCCCCAACCCCCCCCCCGCTCAGGCCCAGAGCCAGGGCGGCGCCGCCAACGTGCGCGCGCTCGGCCGGCGCGGCGGCTCGTCGGCGGCGCTGGACGCGCCGGCGGAGCTGCTGGGGGAGGAGCGGGCACCCCTCCTCTCGGAGGCGACGGTAAGGGCGACTAGCCCAGGGGCGGCCATTGCACGCATTCGCCAGGGAGCCTCGTCGAGGACATGGACCATCGGCGCCAATGGACCCGTGTGTTGCTCCCCCCCCGGCTATCCGCCCCCACCGTCGCCACCGATCTTCTGCTCAAGCAGTAGCGAGGCGTCCTGGCTTGCCTGTAAGTCCACAAAAGAATGTGGTCTAAGAACCTTTTTTGTGGTCTGTCCGGAATGCTCGTCGAACACTTTTGGCTGAGATTGTCGCGCTCTAAGACGCTGGCGTTCTGTTTGTTCTTCGAGCACTCCTCGGTGCTAAGCACAGTTCATGGTAGGCCTGCGGGATTGCTCGAACGGCCGGTCCCTGCTCAATCCAGATCGCCCACGAGATGCACGTTTCAAAATCCAAGCGTTGTTCCACCTTCAGGTCAAAACCTAACAACAACAAAAAAATAAAAACAAAAACAAAAAAAAGCACATGAATAAAAACAACAACTAAAAAAAAGCGTCGTTCCTCGATATCGGCCTCGGGTGCCCGCCGCTGGGCCCCAGGACGACCATGGCGGAACGGGGTGTGCGGGGCGAGACGCTGCACGCCGTGAGTGGTCGGGACGTCTGGGGAGAAGCGAGGAGCGAGGAGGAGCGAGGAGGAGCGAGGAGCGAGGAGGAGGAGGAGGAGGAAAAGGAAAAGGAAAAGGAGGGGGAGGAGGAACAGGAGTGGGAGGAGGAGGAGCCACCCCTCCTCGAAGAAGGAGAGGCATAAGCGTAACAAAATTCGGAGCTCCGCGCGGAGCTCCGAAGGTTTGGCTTTTTGTGTGCAGCGCTTGTTTTTTCAAGATTTCCCGTCGCAGGCAAGCCACAGCTGGTGGAGCTGAGGTCCATGCCCTCCTGCGGGACCCATCGGCTTTGACACTCCTCTCGAAGGGTCTTGGAGTCGTGGATGCGACGGGCTGCCCGGGGGCAGCACGACGCACGTGTCCCCCAGGTTGTGGCAGGTCGGTCGGTACAGGCTGCGCACCAGAGCGACCCCTCGCCAGAGTGACCTCTGGCCCATAGGGGTCCCCAGTCGCTGAGCGCGGTGATGCGATAGCAGCGGCTTGCGCGCCTGGGATCGCCCCCCCGCGGCCCCACAGAGGCCGCGCACCAGCGGCCTTTCCTGTCTGGGGCCACTCTTGCGTGCTGGCGCTTCTTCTGACCGTGGTGGCCCTTTTGGGTACCGGCGACTGGCGTTTGGGCTCGTTTCGGGTCCCAGGGTCACCGCCTGTCGATCCGGCGGGAGGACTCGCGCCTGAAGACGGCGTCGAGGGCTCCGCTCTGGCTGTGGTGTCCGGCGAAGTCGTGCCTCCAGGGCCCAGGGCGGACGGCACGCCCTGCGTCGACGGGCTGGCGTTCAGGATGCCTGGCTTTGGCAGCTCCGATTCTGGGCGTTCTTCGTGCTTCTCGCAGTCCGTCGGGCGCGGGCGCTGGTCCAGCGCGTCGCTACGTGAACCCCAGTGGTGTGCAGAGCGCGTAGGGACACGAACGTCCCGGGGCCGCAGGAGACGCTGGTATTCGCCACGTGCTCTTCGAGAGCGGACGGAGAGTGGACCTGACGCTGACTGCCGCAGATCATTTCGCGAGAGCCCAAGAGGGAAGTTGCTTTTGACGAGGCAATATGGTGGTAGGCCGCGCGTGCTCAAAGACCAAGAAGACACTAGGAATCGATAGAACGAAACGCTTTGGAGAAACAGAACAAGGCCAGGGCATCGAAACACAACGCAAACGAATAGGACTGACAGGCGCTGTCGTGTGAAACCCTTCTGTGATGGCCTCCAGCGCGTGTCTATCGGGCGGGGCCCACTCGTGTGAGGCACGGTCGCGTGGAGCACTTTCGTGAAACCGCTTCGTGTTGGATCGTATCGTGTGGGACTCGGTTGCACAGGTCCCAATTGCGCGAAATTCGATCGACTGATACTCAAGTATGTTCGGCACCTTATCGTGAATGACCCGTTCGTGTGGGATTCATTTGTTGAACCCCATGATGTGCTACATTGTCGCATAGGTCCCAATCGAATACGCTGCAAGCTAGCCGGATGCCGTCGGAAGGGATTCGAGCGTCTTGGGGCGTGTCGGGGCATCTTCGGGTCCATCGTGGCGATCTTTCTTACAAACATGGCAGCCTCGTTGGTCGTTTTGTGGAAGCCCTCGTGCCCTCTTGGGGTCGTTTCAGAGGTCGCCTGTTGCGTCTGTTGGAGCCGTTCTTAAGCAGTTCGTCCTCTGGGGGGCCCTACACATTCTAGCCGCGACTTGGGCTCTGCAACTCATCTTGGGACGTCTTGGGGCCTTTTCGGGGGCCTCTTGGCCGTTGGGGCGTCTGAAACTGTTGGAAGCCCGAGTATGGAAGAACACTGGAAACCTGAAGCACTCCGACGGCAGGACCTTACATGAGAGTCCCCTTGGTGCACATGCGCGCGACAACCAAGTACGAACGATTGATATGATGATAGGAAGTCAGAATGCTAGGGCGCCAGGGAGCCAGGATGCCAGGGTACCTTGAACGGAGGTCAAAGGTGAGCGTAGCGAGCACCGTGCCTACATCCGACGCCGTTTGGCTCAAGCGGCGCTGCTCTGTGTGACTACGCCATTCGTGGCGTACCGTCGCGCCTGAGTAACGAAAATGGAGACTCCACATCCTTCGATGGTGCATACTTTTATAGATTGCTTTATATCTACATATAACGGGGGGCCGGGTCCAGGGTCCGGGGGCCGGCGCCTCGACCGCAAATGTGGGGCCCGGGCGTCGTTTTCCTTGTGCTGTTTTACAAGATTTCGGCGACCCCGGGGCCAACAGGGCCCCAAGAGGCTACAGGGAGGCCCCAGGAGGCCGCAGCGATGGCTCCAGACGCCTTTCGAGACGACTCCCATGACGCCAAGAAGGCACCCGAAGGCCCCGAAGACGCCCCAAGAGGCACCCCGAGAGAGCCCCAGTAAGCAAAAATCGCTGATTTCCACTGGGGAAACTGATATTTTTGGCGTGTTCGCCTTTTGGGCTTCCACTGCGTCCAAGGCGGCCCAAGAGGCCCCCAAGACTGCCCCACAGGCTCCCAAGATGGCTCCAAGTTGACCCCAAGAGGGTCCCAAGACGGCCCGAGAGGCCCCCAAGAGGCCCCCAAGACAGCCCAAGAGAGCCCCAGGACGAGCCCCAGAGGGGTCCCAGAGGTGCACAACCATATTCACATTCCGAGCTTTCGGCCCCAGAGGCTCCCAGGAGGCCCCAAGAGGTCCCCAGGAGGCCCCAAGAGGCCCCCCAGAGGCCCCAAGAGGCGCCCAAGAGACCCCAAGGAGGCTCCCAAGAGGCACCCCGATAGAGCCCCAATAAGCAAACATCGTCGATTTCCTATAGGGACCTTTCGGGCTTCCACTGCATCCAAGACGGCCCAAGAGGCACCCAAGACGGTCGAGGATGCCCCCAAGAGGGCTCCAAGACGGCCCACGAGGGGGCCAAGACGGCCCATGAGACGCCTAAACCGCTCAACAACGCCCCAAGTCGGCGCCCAAGACGGGGACGAGGAACCGAAAATGCGAGCCATGTGGCCCAAGAGGCCCTCAGGAGACCCCAAGGGGCTCCAAGAAGCGCCCAAGAGGCCCCCAGAGACCTGCAAAAACGGAAAAAGAGTTCCCGAACACGCCCCAAGGGACACTCCAATAGAGCCCCAATAAGCAAACATCGTCGATGTGTTGTTGCACATGTTGAAAACGAATGTGCGCGCCGCCAAGGCGAGAGCCTCCTTTGTGGCGATCGTACACCCTCCGTCCTTGGAGCTGTTGCAAATATTGAAAACAAATGTGCGCGGCGCCAAGACGAGAACCTCAGTTGTGGCGATCGTACCACCTCCGTCCTTGTAACCGTTGCCGAATTCAAGCTTTCGTGTGATAAGTTGTCAGGAAGTCTCACGCGGCACGCCCAGCCCGACCGACAAGTCAGCTTCGGAGTCAGACGAGAGGGGGGTCATTTATAAGGGAAAGAGCGTGTTCTACCGCTGCTGGCGGAAAACCGGGAGGGGTCACTACCGGTTCGAACCCCTCCCCCCCCCCCCCTCTGGAAAACCGGGGGGGGTCACTACCGGTTCGAACCCCTCCCCCCCCCCCCAGTTCATCATGAAAAGGGGGGGGGGGGGGTCACTACCGGTTCGAACCCCCCCCTCCCCCCCCCCTCGAAAACCGGGGGGGGGTCAATACCGGTTCGAACCTTCATCTCCCCCCCCCCCCGGAAAACCGAGTGGGGGTGCGGACAGTGGTGGGGACGGTGTTGGTGGGGCCAGTGGTGAGGGGACAGCGGGACAGAGGTGGGGACAGTGGGACAGTGGGACAGTGGTGGGGACGGTAGTGGTGGGGGACAGTGGTGGGGACAATGGTGGGAACAGGGGGGACAGTGGACAGTGGTGGGGACGGTGGTGGTGGGGACAGTGGTGTGGGGACAGTGGGAATGAGGTGGAAACAGTGGGACAGTGGAGGGTACAATGGTGGTGGGGACACTGGTGAAGGCGGTGGCGAGGACGGCGGTGGGACAATGGGACAGAGGTACAGTGGGGACAGTGGTGGGGACAGTGGGGACAGTGGTGGGAACAGTGGGACAGCTCAGTGGGACAGCGGAGGAGTCAGTGGGACAGTGGGGACAGTGGGGATAGTCGGGCAGTGGTTGGGGCCGTGGAGACAGTGGGGAGAGTGGAACCGTGGTGGGAACAGTGGTGGGGACAGTGGGGACAGTGCGACAGTGGTGGGGGCACTGGTGGGGACAGTAGGGACGGTGGTGGAACCAGCGGGACAGTGGTGGTGAGGACAGTGGCGCTGGGAACAACAGTGGGGGATGTGATGCGGACGGTGGTAGGGACCGGGAGTCGTTTGCTGGCGGTGCGTGGGGGGGGGGGGTCGAACCGGTAGTGACCCCCCTCCGGTTTTCGAGGGGGGGGGGGTTCGAACCGGTAGTGACCCCCCCCGGTTTTTCCGGATCCGGAGGGGGGGGAGGTTCGAACCGGTAGTGACCCCCCCCGGTTTTCGAGGGGGAGGGGGGGGGGGGGGGGTTAGGGGAGGGGGGGGTTTTGCCGGGGGGGGGGGGGGTCCAGCAGGGGGGGGGGATTTTCGGAGGGGGGGGGGGGCGACCCCCGGGTTCCGGAGGAAAAGGTTGGCAATTTTCCACAGTAAAGCGGCGGTGGATCACGCTCTCTCTTATAAGGGGAAGGGGTGGAGGTGGAGGAGGAGGAGGAGGAGGAGGAGGAGGAGGAGGAGGAGGAGGAGGAGGAAGGGGGGGGGGAGGAGGGGGAGGAGGGGGAGGAGGAGGAGAGGAGGAGGAGGAGGAGGAGGAGGAGGAGGAGAGGAGAGCAGGAGGAGGCGGAGGCGGAGGCGGAGGCGGAGGCGGAGGAGGAGGAAGGGGAGAGGACCAAATTCGTTGCTTTCCCATGAGCTTTTGAAGCATTTCAGAACTGATGGCCCAAGAGGCCCCGCCAACATCGCCCAAATGGCCGCCCAGAGTGCCCCAGGACGGCCCATGAGGGTCCCGAGGCTGTTGTTTTGGAAGATTTTGGCGATGTCGCCGTTTCGCCTGTTCGACGCTCCAAGATGGCCCAAGAGGCCCCCCAAGCCGCCACGAGATGTCCAAAGAGGCTTCCGCACGAGCCATAAGAACCAAGACGGCCCGAGAAGGCCCCAAGACAACCGCAAGAGCGGTCCAGGGCGAGACTCCCAGACTCAAAACTGCGAGCTTCGTCCACCGAGGGGCCCCGAGCACAGGAGGTTAACGAGGTAGAGGAGGAGGAGGAGGAGGAGGAGGAGGAGGAGGAGGAGGAGGAGGAGGAGGAGGAGGAGAGGGAAGAGGAGGAGGACAAGGATGATAAGGAGGATAAGGAGAAGGACGAGTAGGTGAACGGAAAGGGGGAGGATACACAGGAGGAGGAGGAGGAGGAGGAGGAGGCACAGGGAGAGGAGGATGAGGAGGAGGAAGGGGAGGAGGAGGAGGAGGAGGAGGAGGAGGAGGAGGAGGAGGAGGAGGAGCGCGGGTGGGGCGTGAGGAGGAGGAGGAGAGACCAAAAAAGAGAGAGAGAGAGAGAGAGAGAGAGAAAACTTGAAACCGGATTGTTTGAGGCAGCCAGGCCAACAAGGCTTCACAAGCACCTTGAAGAGCCAGCGTTTTCAAACAAGATTGGTTGCACTGCGCTCGTGCTGTCAAACACGATATGGGCATTTCCTTCCGTGCCCCACTGAAATGCTCAAGAGCGGAGCCTGGCTCTGTGGGAGATCCCGGGCCCTGGCCCCGGGACTGGAGCCTCCCTTGCTCATGCAGTGCGGCCCCCTCCCAAAGGGCCGCTCCGGCCGCCCCCGGGCCTCCCTGAGCTTTCGAGATGGTTGCTAAACTGCCCAGGAGGTCTCCAGGACGCCCCGAGAGAGCCGCAGGAGGGCTCCAGTCCAAGACGCTCCGAGAGGCCGCCAACCCGCCCCGAGAGGCTTCCAAGACGCCCTGCAAGCGGGGTTCGAGAGGTCAAAGTCGTTGATTGCCTTTTGATTGTTGGAGGATGTTGTTCTTCTCGCATCTTCGCCTGTCCGACGTTCCAAGATGGCCCGAGAGGCTCCCACGACCGGCACCATACAGCCCACGAGGCCTCCATGGCAGTCCCAAGACGGCCCAAGGCGCGCCCAAGACGGCCCAAGAGGGCTCCCGGTCGTGTCGCCGTCTTGACTGTCCGACGCTCCAAGATGACCCAGTAGGCTCCCAAGTCCGCCCAAGAGGCCTCCTGGGGGGCGCCAAGACATCCCATGGGGGCCCCAAGAGAAGTCCAAGACGGAACCTTAGATTTGGAAAGTTTACGCGACGCGTGCATGCACGCGACGCGTGCCACGCGTCCTGCCCAAAGAGGCCCTCAAGACGCGTCGAACCGCCCAAGAAGCCGCCAAACCGCCCCAAGAGGCTTCCAAGACGCCTTGCAAGAGGCGCTCGAGAGATCAACATCGTTGATTTCTCAAGGGTTATTGAAAGATGTCGCCCTTGCCGCCTCTTCGCGTGTCCCACGCTCCAAAACGGCCCAAGAGGATCCCACGACCGCCACAAGACGGCCCAAGAGGCTTCCACGAGAGCTCCAATGCGGCCGAGGAGGCCCCGAGACGGCCAAGGCTCGCCAAAGACGGCCCAAGAGAGCCCCAAGACGACCCCAAGAGGGGTCCAAGACGGGACCCCAGATTCGAAAATGCGTGCCTCTTGCCCCACGAGGCACCCAAGAGGCCCTGAGGAGCCCCCGAGCGGCCCCCAAGCAGCTCCAAGAGGCTTCAACAACAGCCCAAGGAGGCAAGCCATGAGCTCCAAACCAACATGCGTGAGGCGTCGTGGGGTCATCTTCGGCGTCTTCGATTGCTTTTTGGGCGTCGGGGGCTTCTTGGCCCGTCTTTGCGCCTTCTTGGGGACTTATTGGCCCGCCCGTCTCGGGGAAGAGCCATGTGAGAAGCTGCGCCTGACCCTACGGGTACAGCGGCAAGCCCCGAAGTGGAGAAGCAGGAACAGCAGGATTATCCCAGTGCGACCCTACCTAGGAGTTGGAGCCCCTAGGAAAGCAGCATTAGTAGTAACAGTAAAGCTGAGCTAAAGCTAAGCTAAAGTTAAGCTAAAGCTAAGTTAAAGCTAACCTAAAGCTAAACTAAAGCTAACCTAAGGCTAAAGCTAAGATAAAGCTAAGGTAAAGCTAGGCTACAGCTAGGCTATAACAAAGGTAAAGCTAAGCTAACGCTAAACTAAAGCTAAGCTAAAGCTAAGCTAAATATAAGCTAAATCACAGCTAAAGCTAAGCTAAAGCTAAAGCTAAGCTAAAGCTAAAGCTAAGCTAAAGTTAAGCTAAAGTTAAGCTAAAGCTAAGCTAAAGCTCCCAGGGGACTGGGGGAACCGCGGGGCGGATCCTGGGGGAACCGCCCGGGGCGAAGCCCACTGCCCGGCCCCTTTAAGATAGAGAGTGAGAAACCTTCTAGGCAGAGCCTAGGTAGGGAATAAAGAAAAGGAGGAGGAAGAGGAGGGGAGAAGAAGAAGGAACACAAGGAGGAGGAGGAGGAGGAGGAGGACGACGAGGAGGAGGAAGTGGAGGACACAAAGGAGGAGGAGGAGGAGGAGGGGGGTATGAGGGGGACAAGGAGAAGAAGGAGGAGGAGACAGAGGAGAAGGAGGAGGAGGAGGAGGGAGAGGAGCGGAAACGACGCCGTGCCTGCTGATACCCGTCTTCGGAACCTTCTAGAACCTAAGCGCGCGTGAAGCGCGCGCGTGGTTCTAGTTTATTGTCTACCGGCCTACCTTCAATATGGGATTAGTTGTAGGGTGCCAGGGAACGTCTACGACGTTGCCATATCCACAAGCGGGGTCTCGGCTTACGCCCTCCTGACCTCCGTTTTTTTTCACCTGGTAGCTGAGCTGGCCTCATCTTCATGCGGCTGTCTCTTACACTATTTGTAATGTACATACTGGTATGCCACGGCACAGTGGGACACATCTGCGCCTGCTACCAGCCACCACACCTCCACCACTCACCAACCAATTCATAATAGACTACCCTATGTCTCCATCTCCTCACCGCGTGGCCACACGCTATATAACAGCACGAACCCTACACCGATTCGCACACCGACGGGTAGGCCAGCTCAACAACACACCGACCACGACACAACCAACGACAATATGAACATGCAGTACGTCACGATTACCAGATTTGGCGTTACATGGAACTGTCTTGGTCTAGCAGTGGGTTACATGCAACGGGGAATGGACGACACACGTACCAGAGGTCCCATCTGGGACCCCGCTGGCAACGCACCATTACGCGAGTTCGTCCGCGAAGTACATGCATGGCTCAACGTCACAGGTGGTGCCATGACTTCACCACAGCAGGCCGCAGCATCGCAGCGAGGCCTTGGAGGCCTAGCCAGGGCCCTGGCCATGAGTGTATTGTTTACCATCATCAACTACGGCGCAATCCTATTGGGTCGACGCGCCGACGGAGTTACATCATGTACCTCTTCAGCACTGAACTCGAACACCTCGAGGATGAGCGACAGTTCACATCGGGAACTGCCCTGGTTGACTTCAGGGTCGAAAGGGGCGAGCGAATCGGTGCGGTATTAACCCGATTCGGAATCGCCCGACTGGAAGCAGATCCGGTTGTCTTCAACGTATCGAGTTTCCAGATCTTGACGCTCCTATTATTCCGAGTTCTGGGGGTCGGCACCTCCCGAACATCACAACGGTTACATACACTAAACCACCATACGCACCGCACCCAACAACGAGATGATCAGCTATTGGATAGAATGCGCAGCCATGGACACTTAGTTCAGCGCCGCCCTGGAAACATCGGAGGCATCTTCAGCAGCCGAAACGCCGGCACGTTCCACGCAAACATAAGCGACGCGCCGGCGGCCACGCGCGGCAACATCTGGAGCGACAAGGAGCCAAAGCCAAACGAAGTTACAACGCTTCTGGGCCAGGAAACTGGCAACTCACAAGCAACCAGCTCCAACAACGGTTGGCCAGCTGCTGCCAGTTATACACCACGCGCAGCAATTACCTTTCGGGGTTTGTCATTCCACCAATTTGACGACCTTGAACCTGGAACCGACACCGACACCTGGCGCTGCAGAGATCGATTTGTCAGATCTACCCGTTGGCGACGACCAAGCAGCACGGCATCTAGACCTAGGATATCACGACGCCAAGAGAAGGTGGAGACGCTATTTTTTTGTAGAGAAAATCAGAGGAGCAGTGCGACGGGCATTCTATCGCAAGGGCAGGGCACGAGGTAAGGGTGGCAAGCGCGCCTGCAGGTTGCACGGGAGGGCGGTGGCCACGCACCTAGCCAGCCCCACAGACCAGGACTTTGAGGAATGATTTCTCGGCGGCAAGGGCAGAGGCACAGGCCGCGGGAACACCGCCGAAAAAGGTAGGGGACGCAGACGAAACCCCGTGGAAGAAAACGGCCAATGAATGACATGCCGCAAATACGGCAGCGACAAGCACTTGCAGGCACAGCACCCACAGGGAAAAGGGGAAGGGAGATGGATCCACACTCCTGGGCTCAGACCATCAAGATGAGGACGTACCTGAGCACGTAGACTCCCCAGAACTAGATCACCCTTCCTACGCCAGTTCTCGCGCCGCGCTGCTCCCGATGGCGAGGTTCGCCGAGGCTGCCATGGCTGTCGCGAGGCGCGCCGAACACTTGCACGACGGCGTCGACGAGGTGCGCGACGCGCCGTTCGAGGATTGGGAGGAGCGCCTTCCCGCGCGGCCGCGCGCGAGAGGATCCCGATGATGACATCGAGCGCGCATCGGACCCTATGTGCGAGGCGGAGATTATCCTTGCCACCGAGGAGGAGCTCCCCTGCGATCCCAGCTGGGAACCGACATCCCGCCGCGTCGGCGGCAGCTGACGCCCGTGACAAATTGCTCCAGTCACAACGACCACGGCGCGAACGGTCGGCCAGCATTTCGAGCTGCGCTGCCCACCTCCAAGGGACCGCTGCGCCTAGACCGGATCAGCCGGCAGCCGCTCGAGCTGATGCGTCGCAGTCGGCATTGCTGCATCGCGGCATGGGCTCGGCCCCAACGCCACGCGGCGCTGACCTCGAGAACCACAAGGGCAAGGCCTCCCCGGCCACGGGCGCGCCTGATTCACCGCGGGCCAGAGCGACTCCCAAGGCACCTTTCAACGAGGCCGTGATGCAGAATTTGCTGAAGACGCGGAACGATCCACCCCGCAAGCGTCGCGGGCGCGGTTGCACGCGACCTCAATTGCCATGCCGACGAGGGGTCGAGTAGCCAGGACACTGGCCGATCAGCAACCGCTGCACATCCAAAGGCGGCCACGCACCTTCAGATGACCTCGAAGAGCAAAGGGGCGCCAACTGCTACAGAGCCACATGCTGCAGCACCAGCAGCCGCAGCATCAGCAGCCGCAGCGCCAGCAGTTGCAGCGCCAGCAGCTGCAGCGCCACCAGCTGCAGCGGCGCCAGCTGCCGATCCGTTTTCACTAAGGGCGGACGCGCCCAGATATGATGAAGCAAGGTGCGGACCATGCACCATAGAGCTCCCCTTGAGCTACTTCCATGAACGTAGACCGCATTTTTTATGCAATCACCTCAGAACGAGGCCGCCGCTGAGGTTTCCGAATATGGTCACGTTATCGAAGCAGAAATGCGCATGCACAATTTCCATTATTGGCCTGAGCCGGACATCAATGAGGAGACCATGATCTCTGAATGGTGGACCACCACTTGCAGACATCGGCCATGCAAGGATGGTGTAATAATAGACCCATCATTCGAGCAGACATGCGCCGCTTGGGATAAGTACGGCGGCTGGATCATGGTTAGCGACGCACTCGAATGCTACCTGGGCGAAGCATATTGAAGTTGTCAAGCATTGGTTGGCCAACCAGCCCGGCTACGACCAGGCTTGGCTACTGCTCAAGACCAGCAAGATGGTCGATCATTCGGACGTTAAAAAGAGACGCCTGCTGCTGACATTCGACGCCAGCAGTCCAACTGGCGGACGCGTCCGATACATGCGCGCAACTAACGGCCACTCGCGGCCTGGAGTCCTCAGCCCAGAAACGCCACACTTGGGAGTGCGTTCGCTGGGGATGGATGGACGCCCACAGCATTCATCCACTGCTCGGAATGAAATTGTGCAGGACAGATCACGTAGAATGGACTATCGCGCCTGGCCCAGGATAGCCCCAGATGACGAGCAGGCAGTTCGTCCACTGCTGTCCGCATCTCCCAGGCGATCCTCACATAAGGTCCAGACTGCGTCGAGACGCCGAAGTTCTTATCTTCATCTGCATGCCGCTGTTACTTCGCAACAATAGAGCGATTTGGCGGTCAGAGAATGACGCGGTCATGACCGAAGGACTAGCTTGAAGGGTACCGACCCAATTCATTATCCAGCTGGTCGGCATGAAGGTCAAGCGTCGGGGCGAAGCGCAGCAGGATCCCCAATTATTCGGTCCACGCCCGGTTGGAAAGCCAACGCCTTCACGCGAGGCTGACCTACACGAGGGCTGGATTTGACCACGGAACCCGTACGCTATCGGCACGAAGACACACGAGGGGCTACTTGGTAGTGAGTCCTACACGTGCTTTATAGACATCTCAACGCTGCCCGACATATTCACACGGTGCGACCCCCGGGCTTCATCCAGGGGGGTATACTAGTAGGACCACCAGTGAGCTAAGGCCAACCAAGGCCTCCATCGCAGACTGGCTCTACCAGGTTCGAGCCGATGCCACTCGGCCGAGCTCAGTCGGATGCCAGCGCTGCTTCATGGGCGGACACGCCCGGTGGAACTCAGATTCAGACACCTGGAATGCAGGATGAGGGCCTCATGCAGCGGATGGCTATATTGCGTCAGCAACCTTATCTGGCTGCTGCGGCGACGGCCACTACGCCCTTCGGTACCCCGCGACCGCAGAACCAGGCCACTGGCGGTCCGACGGGCGCGCCAAACGTGGCACCACCGCCACAGCAGCCTGGGCACAGGTATTCGGCCCGAGAGCAGCAGCGTTTCATGCAGCAGCAACACCAAGCTGCAATGGCCGAGATGCGCAACCTGGGGGTTGATGCAGCCGGCAGAGCAGGCTGGAGACCGGCGTGGGAGTGGGCCCTAGACTCCAGTCCTGCATCAGATCATCCTGATCGCATACCGCTCATTCCAGCGTTCGCTGCGCATTCAAACTACCTCCCAGTAGAGGCACCAGCGGCACCTCCCATGGATCAGCCATTATTGCCCGAGTAGCATGCCGAGGTAACTGGGGCCCCAATGGTTGGCCAGCTGACGCAGAACATGGTCACCAGGAACATGGCCGACGAGTTCTATCGTCTCCAAGCGGCGCGAGCACCGGATAACGTGCCCATGGGGCACTACCCACCTCCAGGGAGCCCTGATACAGCGGTCCAGCCAACAGCCCGGGAGGTACCAGCACCCATGGGACCAATGCCGCCATACCCACGGGACATGTCTCGGATGATGCAAGCCAACATGCAGGCCACCGAGGATGCGAGAAGGGCGGCGCGCGAGCGTGCGGCGAGGCGCTCGCAGAACATGATTGCCAACGCCCAGCGCGGACACGCGCCGGCCCCAAGATCAACCCCGAGGTCCCGCACTTGGGATGCACATCCGCCGCGATATAGATTGGCCGAGACGGTTGCGCGGAGACGAGGGCGGAGGCGCCCGACGACGGAGACGCCCGTTGTCCCTGACATCGCGTTTACGTAGTGCGCCGTATGTTTGGAGGGATTCGCACCACGGAAAAAGGTGTGGCGCTTAAGCACAAAGCAGCGATCCCGTTTGGTTTCTTTTTGCGCGTTCTCGCATTGTGAAGTTGACGGCAGACCAAAAAGCCCAAGATGCCGCCGAAATCGTTCCAAAAGAGCTCGATGACGGCCCGATGGCCTTTGAGGTCCAAACGGGGAGAACCAAACAGGGAAAAGACGATGGCACATTCGGACAGTGGGCGATCCTAACTGGGAAAACCCTTGGTTCTGGAAAGCAAGCGGTCCAAACGGGGACAACACAACATTCGGACAGCGAACGGTCCAAACGGTCCAAGAGCGCCTCCTTCATTGCCGAAAACGATGGCTCCGCTAAGGACCCCCCGAAACAAATGATCAAGTTCCAACATTGCATGATTAGCATTCATGTGTCTAACACCGTCTTGAAATATCTCGTGACGGACCTCAAAACAGCTGAAATTGGCTCGAACATCCCAAGAAAGCCCAAGAGGGCCCGTAGACCCCCCCAAGGCTGCGACAAGGGCGAGGAACAGAGAGGACGTAAGAGCAGGAAGAACTGACAAGCCAGCGAATTCGCGACATCACAAGGTAAGTTGCGGTCTCCGCCCCCGTGCCGAACACGTCTAGTGGCCTTCGGCCTATCCTGCCACCGTGCGTGGGTAGTGGACCAGAGGCTTGCTGAATGCTACAAGGGTCTTGTGGGGTGCTTCTGCAGGACGTCGGACAGGGGGAAGGGCCGCGCTGCTGGGAGCTGGCGCGACTGGAAAGCAGCGGAACGCTATTCTTCACGCTTCGCGCATCCCCACCAGCCCATTCCAGAACAGTCTCTTGTGCGAAGCATGCCGGCAGTCGTGGCTTTCGGGCGCACCTCCTCCTGCCCACGCATATATCCTTCTACTTCTCTGGGTCTTTCGCTCTGGGAGGCTCTTGGAGGCATCTTGGGGGTATCCCAGGACCTTCTTGGGGATATTTTGGAGATCTCTGGGCCCTTTTGGGGTTCCCGTGGTGCCTCTCGGGGCTCCCTTGGGCCCCCCTTGGGGCTCTCTTGGGGCGCTGTTGGGGCCCTCTTGGGGCTCTTTGGGGGGGTCTGGGAGGTCTCTTGGGGCCATCTTGGCGGCGATCGATCAAAACAGGGACGAGCACTTTTCTGTGTCCCCCCGTCGGGCCCCGAAACCCTATGAAATTACAGCATGCGGCGCCTTTTCGGCTGCCCATCTTGGACGCCCTGACGACACGCGGAACGGCCTCTCCAGGTCCAGGGGGAGGGGGTAGGGGGAGGGGTAAACCTCCCCGAATGAGAAGAAAGGGGTTGAGGACAGAGAGGGCTCCCTAAACCATTCACGCCCAGAGGGCTGGTGGGATTCAGTGATGAAAATCGATGTTGGAGTCCACGCCCTTGTTGCCCCTTGTCCTGAGAAGAGGAACGGGTACCAACACTGCTGCTCTTGCTGTCGTCGCCGCGGCTGCAGTCGCCTCGAGGCCCTGGTCAGAACGCATCCTTGGGGAGGCTCGGAGAGTACACCTTAGGCGATGCTTAAGAAAACTTGAGTTTTTGGCCAGAGTCTCTATCATTCTTAATACTTCAATGTAAATCCTAAGATTTCGAAAGGAATTCTGGGTTTTTATTCGAATTCTGAGACTATGAATTTCTTAACCCATGATTTCTTAAGCATCTCGCAGGGTGTAGCGGTAGCGGTAGATTGTGGTTCCACCATCCTCAGTCCTTTCTGCGGATCCGTAGCCATTGTGGCTCAAGGAGCAGCGGGCGACGTTGCGCCAGAGGGCGGAGGGCCATGAAGAGGGCGACCATCGCGTTCCAGGATGTTCCGCCAACCTCGTCCCAGCACGGCCAAGATTTGGAAAAGTCCAGTCTCGTGTCATCCAACGTCGTGTCGTCCAGCAGGGCCAACAAGCCCCGACTGACCACCATGAAAGAGGATCAGTTTCTCGTCGAAGTCTATCACGAGCTGAGCCAGGTGACCACCGACCGGGAGCTGCTCCAGCAGGCAGACCAGCCCAAAAAGCCTTCACGGGGCTTGTCGTCCGAACAATTCAGGTCATTTGCGGTGCAGTTGGGGTCTTTCGATGGCACCGACGAGGAGTGGGATTCTCGTTGGTTGAAGATTTGCGATGTGTTCAAGGTCGACATGGAAGATGGCATGTCGTATGAGGTGTTTCTCAGTACCGTATTGAGGGAGGACAGCAAGTACCATTGTACTTACGAGGACATCCGCGATGTACTACAGGGCCTCAGGGTCGCGAACTCCTTGACGGGGGCGGAAGAGTTCGAGGAGTGCTTATCTTGTGGAGGGCACGGCTGCACCTTGTGTTACAAGGAGGGCTCTGGCCGATCGAAGCTTATCAAGATGATTTTCGAGCATTGTGACTACCAGGGTGGGGGCGCGTTGAATTCAGCCGAGCTTTACGAGTTCGCGCTGCTCATGAATTTCGAAGGTACGGAAGATGAATGGCACGCCGAGTATGCTATGCTCTGCAAGGCACACAATTGGGATGCCGCGGGAGTGACGCCCGAAGAGTTCACCGCGTGGATCAACGACCAGCACTGTGAGGACGGCAACGGCTATTGCGAGGACTCCGAACTGCGGGCCATATACCAGGCGCTGCTCACCGGCAAGCTGCAGGCCAAGCGCCTGGCGTGGCGCAAGGACCTGCGGGCGCAGAACAGGGCGGTCACGAAGCTCCAGGCGGCCTACCGAGGAAAGTCTGCGCGGAAGGCGGTGCTGGCGGAAAAGCAGCAGGCCGCCGCGCAGGCCGCCGCGCAGGCGGCAGCCGCCACGACCTTCCAGTCCCACTTCCGCGGCCGTCGGGCGCGGGCCGAGGCCAGAGCGCGCCAGGAGGAGCTGGCCGCGCGCAAGGAGGAGCTGGCCGCGCGGGAGGCGGCGGAGGTGGCCTCTGCGACGAGGATCCAGGCGGTGTACCGCGGGAAGGCGCGGAGGGAGTCTCTGAGGGCTCGCCGACAGCAAGAGGTCAGAGAGGGAAAGGTCCCCATGCGTCGAGGCGTCCCGCGGTTCTTCCCTTGCATGAGCCTCCTGTGAGGCCCTCGTTGCCACCGCTGGGCTCGCCTCGAGAAACTGGTCAGAACACGCCCCGGGGGAGGTCCGAGGAGGAGCGGTATCGGTGCCTTTTGTTTCCCCGAGAGGGCGAGGCTTCCCGCAGGATACAGGCTGCGTTCCGAGGCAAGCGCACGAGGCAGGGGCTCGCACAGAGCGCGTGGGTGTTTCAGCTGACCAGGCCGGAGGCGACCCTCGCCGTGTTCCGCACCTTGGACTCGAAGGGTGTGGGGAGGCTGGGGCTGCATGAGCTGCGACGCTGGGCAGACGCGTGCGGCTACACCGGGAGCGATTCGGATTGGGAGGAGGAGTACCGGCAGATGTGCGCCGCGTACGGCTGGGACCCCGCTCTAGGGGCAGACATGATGCAGTTCGCGCAGTTGATCAACGACAAGAGCGGGGCAACCTGCCTTCCAGAAAAGAGGCTGCAAAAGATTTGCATGGACCTCGATGTGGAGCGGCCACCGCAGCTCACCAGGGCCGAGATGTGCGGCAAGCTCTTTGATTCGCTCAGCATTGGCGAGACGATGGGCCCGAAAGCGATGCGGCGCCTCGCGGACCTCTTGGGCTTCGAGGGCACCGATGCACAATGGGCCGAGGAGTACCGCCACCTGTGCAAGATGTATGGGGTTGACCCTGGCAAGGGCTTTGCAGCGGACAAGCTCGCGGAGCTGCTGAACCACGTCGGCGGCCCCTGCTACCAGGAGGAGGGCGAGCTGCGTCAGATGTTGGCCCTGCTGGAGCTCCGGGGCCAGGCGTGCTACTACCAGCCCCGCGGCAGCGGCCCAGGCTCCCCACAGAAGGCGGCGTTGGCCGCCTGGGAGGAAAAGCGGCGCCAAGAGGCTGCCAGGCAGATCCAGGCCGGCTACCGCGGCAACGCCGCGAGGATCGAATAAGAATAAATGGCACCAGCTGAATTTTTTCGGAGCTCCACGCGACTTTCTCGCATCGGCGCTGGGGCCCCCCTGGCGTGGAGGGTTTCTCCGAAGGGCTTAGGCGACCCGTCCTCCTCCTGTCTCCTCCTCCTCCTCCTCCTCCTCCTCCCCCTCCTTCCGTAGCCATTTTGGCTCAAGGCCAAATGGCGTTCCATTCACTGTCTCAGCGGGGTAGGCTCCCGAGCGATCCAGCATCCAGTCGTCAGCCGCCACAACTTCGGGCTTGCGGCCGCCCTTCCATATTGCCGCCACAATCACGGGTTAGCGGCCGCCCTTCCATATTCGCGCCCTCGCCGGGCAAGCTGTTTGCTTTCGCCGCGTTGTGTTGCACGGCGATATTCCTTACAGTAGCTCGCGAGCCAAGCTGCCACGCTCAGCTACCTCCACCAGGACCTGTGCCACAACCGCCACGTTCTGGACAAGAATCTCCGCAGGTGCCTGGCTTCCAGCCGCTCCCACTGCGACCTGTTACTTCGACATCATGTCGGCCGCCTCACCTGACCGAAGCCAATCCGCATCGAACGGATCCACGTCTGGCAGCAGACGCGAAGACCGCCAACATCGCCGCGACGAGCCTCGCCGCCCTGAACGTGGTGACGACCGCCAACACCGCTGTGAAGAGCCTCGCCGAAATGGTCGACGTGCAGTCCGAAAACATTTCGGACAATTCGGCCACACGGGCTTCAGCAGCCAAGGCCACGCAGGTGCTCCCGCACGTGTTTCTTGTCGAAGCGCCGCGAGACCGCCGCTCACCTCAGCGCGATCTTCAGCCAGATCTGGAAGCCGTGCCGCTGCCGAAGGCACCACCGTGGCCATGGATTATGAAGATATGCCACCGCACGGTCCTCCGCCTGCTGACCCGCTCCTGGGCGCTGCCGACCCCTGGGCCAACTGCAACTTCGGCTCACAGCTTGCGCGCAACATCGAGCTGACACCTACATTCCCAGATCAAGAAGTTGCCGCCGCAGCCGCTGCACAAGCCGCACCAGCTCATGGACAAGTCGCACCTCCTCCAGAGCAGCAACCTACTCCTCCTGAGCGAAACAAACCGCTTCCTGGAATACCTGAAGATCTTGACGTCGCCCTTCGTGAATTCATGCATGTTCAAGTCGCCACAGCCGCTGTGCGCATTCAAGCCCAAGCCGACCAGCTATTCGCCGAATCCCGCGAAAGCTTCAGACATCTCGCGCAACAACAAGTTATCGCTACAGGGCGAAGAATTGACGCTCTACACGACGAAGTTGCCCGAGCTCGCAGAGAACAAGACCGCCAAGCTGCTGAGCATCAACGCATGTGTCAACAGATCGACCAGATGCGCGACACGCTCGCCCTCGCCGAAGCCCAGACGCCGATCGCTGACCTCAACCGCCTTGCCGAGTGGGACCGACAGCCCGACCCGACGCTCTTCGCGATCGGTAGCCAGCGACTCATCGCGCCAGACTTACTGCTCAACGGCCTCCAGGAGTGGATCGCCGCTGCCAACCTACAGCCATGCCATGTCGCACTTCTCGGCGACGCACCTGCGCGCCGCTTCATTCAACAAGTCAAAGTGGATAAAGCTGTTGCAGTGCCTCGCTCCCTTGCCTTATCGCGCGCCCTCCGCGACGCCGCTGGGAAGCGGGAAAGATTTTCATCGACAGACATCACTGGGCAGCACTGCGACCAATACATCAACCCCGACAAGTCGCCCAAGCAGATCCGCGCCGAAGTTCAAACTGAGAAACCCCTTCAGCTTATGCAGCAGCGATACCCTAGAACGAGATGGAGAGCGTTTAGCAACAAAGGCGGAATACACGCTGACTCAATGCCCACTGTCAGAATCTTGGTCAGAGTTCAAGCCGGTCCATCCATCATCCAGTGGAACGACCAGGCCGCCAACCACCCGCAGTTCCAGCACATCGATCGCGGCGACATCATCACTTCCTTCCAGGCGTTCTTTGCTGACACGGAGTCGGCCACGCGGAGCCCCTAACCATCATTGGGCTCCGTGGAGGGTTGACGGCACCACCGAGCCGACCACTATCGCCACGTGAAACGCCAGGGCCCTCATGTGCTATAAGAGCAAGCCCCGCCGTCGCAAGCAGTCCGCCCTCGCGAAGTACATGAAGCGCAAGTGCGCCATCACCCTGCAGGAGGTCCACGGCTCGGAGGCCCTGCTCCGCACCTGGGTCGACACGCAGCCGTGCCCCGACAAGCTCTTCTTCTCCGAGTTCCCGCGCGTCGACGGCGACAACCCGAATGCCGCGGGCGGCGTCGCCACGCTCATCCCATGGTTCACCCCGATGGAGCTCGGGCAGCTGCAGCCGAACCAGCTCCCGCTATTCGCGCATGAAGAACTCGTTCCTGGTCGGGCCCGGTTGGCGGCCGTCACGCACGCCATAACGCGCGCCACCGCGGTCATTATGAATGTGCATAATCACGAGATCGCCGCGTGTGACTGCCGCAAGGTCCAGCAGGCCTGGGAGTTGCATCGCACCTGGGCGGAAGCTAACTACCGCATGCGCACCTTCATCGCGATCGGGGACTTCAATGCAGCTAGCAGCCCGCCGCCGAGCTCCCGGCAGCCGCAGCCGCAGCCGCAGCGCGCCAGGCTGGCGCCGGGCAACAGCATGCGCCAGCAGCAGCCCTTCTGGAAGTCCCGTTTTCGATTCCATGCTTGAGATCGAGACCGAGCTCCCCGCGCGCTTCAACCGTTCGGACTTCACAGCCACGACCATCGACCGCATCTTCATCAGCCTGCCCCCGCACGCCACTACCCAGGAGCTCTCGACCCACGCGAACGCGAGGCGCGACGCCGCGTCGCCTTAGCGACCACGTTATCATCACTTTCTCGATCGGCATCAAGCCGCGCGCCCCGAAGGACGAGCAAGCCATCCACCCTCCGATCTTTCGCGATCCGAATTGCGCCATCCACCTCCAGAAGCCCCTGGGCGCCACCAACTTCGAATGCGTCTCGTTGGACAGCCGATGGCGCACCCACAAGCGCCCCATGAAGGAGGCCGCCCAGCTGGTTTGCGATGATTGGGTCAGCCGTTCTACTGAGGACTCCAACAAGACAGGCTTCCTGGCTGGCAGGGTCCACGCGACGCGCTCCATCTCTCGAGCCATTTGGTGCCGAGACCTTCAACTGGCCCGCAGAATTGCTTCCACGACCGAGCTCGGCGCCATGTTCGTCAACATCTCCGAAGGCATCGTCGCGGTCGACGAGCCGGCCGTCTTCGCCGCCCTCGCGTCGTAGCTCAACCGCGACTTCGAAGCGCGGCAACTCTCTTTTTTTTGTTCTCTCTCTCTCTCTCTCTCTCTCTCTCTCGCGCAGCAGGCTGCACAGCGCCCTCTGAGGCACGCTGGCGCCCTGGCTCCTGAGAAACTCCGCAAGGTCCTTCGGACCGCCCAGCGTCGGGCTCTCCTATGGGCCCCCTGGAAGCGCCGCCTCGCCCTGCAGGGGATCAAGGTCACGGGCCCGAGCGGCTCCAAGATAGCGAGGGAGAGAGAGAGAGAGAGAGAGAGAGAGAGAGAGAGAGAGAGAGAGAGAGAAAGAAAGAGAGAGAAAGAGAGAGAGAGAGGGGGGGGAAAAAAGGCTCAATGGCCACCGCCCTGCGCGACCAAATTGGCAGCCCGTCTTCGCCGCCAAGCCTGTCGACGAGACCAAGGTCGCCAACTACACCCACGCGCGCATGCCGAAGGGCGAGATCCTGGACATTGGGGCCCCCGCGAAGCCGCAGATCAAGGCCCCCCTGCAGCGCACTTCGCCGTCAGCACCAGGCCCCGACTGCTTGCCGTACTCCGCTTGGCTCGCGCACGACGCCTCGCTCACCCTCCTGGAGGACGCGTCCTTCTTCCACTGCTCTGGCCAGTACAGCATCCGCAACTTGAATGATGCCGACTTCGCCTTCTTGCCGAAGGGCGACAACGTTGTTGGCGAGTTCACGACAGACCGATCCCCCGAAGATACTCGACCGCTCTCACTAAGAACACTGACATAAAGGCCATCGCTGGGACAGCCAACTACCTCATTAAGGGCGCGGTGGCAGAGAGCGCCCACATAGCTCAACAGGGCTTCGTGCAGAAGCGCAACTTCACCAAGCACGTTGTCCGCTTCGACTCTGAGATGCGGCGAGCAGGACTACTCCCTGGAGTTCTGCAATCCAAGCCCGTTTTCGCGACCTTCGACTTCTCTGCCGCCTTCCCGTCTCTGGGGCGGGTTTGGCTCTTCGCCGCGCTGGAGCACGCCGGGATCCCGACTGGCCTCATGAACCTCTTCCGCGCGCTGTACTTTGCCCCAAACAGCTACGTCAAACTCGACGGCATCAGGCACTCCATGTTCGCCATAGAGTCTGGAGTTGCACAGGGCTGTCCTGCTTCGGGCTCGGCCTGGGCCATCGCCATGGACCGGCTCACCCGCCACCTCGCCACGTTTGTGTAGCACCGCGACGGCACGCCGAATCTGGACGCTGGCTACCTCGGCGCGCGCGCGGACGACATCGGGCTGCTGACATACTCCTTCGACACGCCTGAGCCCTTTGCCGCAGCCGAGGAGCTTGCGCTCCTCTCGCTCAAGCCTCGCAAATGTTTCACCGTTCCGCTCTGGGCCGCGGCGACCTCAGACATCATAGCCCGAACAAAATCCCACCTGGCCGAGCTCTGTCCTCCATGGGGCGGTTTATCGGTTGCGGGCTGTGCCAAATACCTCGGCACGTTCCTCGGCCCCGAGGCCTCGCTGGCTTCGCAGTGGCCCTCACTGGGGCAAACATGGTGGTAAAGGGGAAATCTTCTACAGTTAGCGCAGGGTGGCAGTGACGCCACAGTTCGCCTGCGCAATACCTCAATCGGGTCCACGCTCAGCTATGTCGCTCAGTTCTTTCCGCCCCAGCCGTTGATCGCCCGCCGTGAACGTCATGTCTTCCATAAGATGCTTAGCCTGCTGCCGAACTCACTGCGCAAGGTTGATTCC